TTCTCTCCCCTCTCTCCTTCTCCTTCTCTCTCCTTTTCCTCACCTCCTCTTATCACCTGTCCTGCTCCTTCTTCTTCTCTTCCTCCTCATTACTACTTTCCAGTTTTTGTTTCTTCCCTTTTCATCTTTTCTTTACCCCCCCTCCTTTCTGTCTTTCTTTTATCCTTCCTTTCTTCTTGCTGGGTGGATGGAGGTGAAGTTGAACGGCCTTATATTCACCAATATATGTATCTGCACAGTCTTCTGCATCATGTAGTTTTTTTTAGATGTATAAAACAATAAAATACAAACAAGACATATAAGAAATAAGTAATGAAAATTGAAAATAATTAGAAACATGATAAATATAGCCGACACTGAACAGACTGGAGGTCGTCCTGCTGTTTTAAACACATAGAAAAATGAAGAATAGATATAATACGTAAGTGAATTATGTGTGTAAATGGTGAAATGTTTCCAAAGATAATTCAAGATTAAATACTAATGCAAATGCTTAAAAGGAAACTGACCTGACAGACATTTACTCGACTATTAGGAGGCAGCCCTAGTTCTCATGGTCATGAAAAACCTGGAAAAGTCATGGAATTATTACAAGTCATTAAACGCTTTGGGGAAATCATGGAATTTTGTTGTGTGTAATGAAAATGTTACAGCAATCTTTCACAGTTAGCCTTCCGCGTAATGTAACATCACGACAAATGTATTTTCTGTAGCTGTCGAGGTACGTAACTGTGGGACGCGCCATTGTGTGAAGTTTTCTTCACCATCACGTACGTTTCTTCATTTTCTCAGCCTGTTCACTCTCTCCCTTCCTGATGCCAGTGAGCTGAAATTATTTTTTGATAGAGCTTGAAGTTGGGCAAGAAAAAAATTGTTATGGGTCCTTGAAAAGTCATGGAAAAGTTTTGAAAATTCGTCCATGAAAATGTGCGGGAACACTTGATTTTATACGTTTTGTGATATGCTGAGTATTGCAACAGTATATATTGCAATTAATTAGCTTTTTGTAAAGCTAAAAATAATGTCTCCAAAGTAAAACTTTTGTCAACATCTGTTTGATCTAATAAGATAAAGGTTTCAGTCTGTTCATCTCACTTCAATCACTTTACTTGCAGCGAAATGTAAAAATAGAAATTGATTATATTATTGTAGTAGGCTACCTACAGTTTGATTTGTATTTGTAATATTAGTAATTTGTATGATAGAAATATTGATACTTGGCACTGTGTGACGATACGATATTGCAAAAAGAAACAAAAAAACATTTTCCCACCCCTACTATCTAGTGGACACTTGTGTGAAAATGACACTGAATTCAGCAGCTTCCTCTCCGAAACTGGTGAAATGGTTGCACCTAATGTTAAATGTCTTAAGACATGAGGACTGTACTTGTTAACAGAGCATTTTCTGTTGTCTTAACACGTCACGTCACACGTAACATCAGGACGAACAAATTTGTCTTACTAATATGAACATAAAAATAGACCTAGAGAAAATGTTGCAAATGATGCGTATACTCCAGCATGGCTAAGCATCTTATTTCAGCCATTTTAATTGGAGCAAAATAGTGGACTGAAAGTGTATCTGCTTTTATTATTCTATTAAGCTCTCAATAGTTTAGTTTGTTTTTGCAGTATTAACAATTTATATGATTTAAAAAAATCATACTTGGTGTCCACGTGTTAAAACAGTATTTCCAGGCTAAATATTGTGATATAGTGCTGTATCGTTTTTTCCCTCCAACCCTGAATCAAAATGTTCCACTGATTTTTTTTAATAGTCTATAAAATGAACCTTGCAAAAAACAAATAAGTGGTCAGAATAAAAACGAAATAGGAGCTGAGAAAGAGGACAGGCCTCTGTGATTTAAAGAACAGGAAGTGCAGGTTTTTAACAGAGGAGGAAAGAGAGCAACAGACAGAGGAGAGGAGGACGGGATCCTGGAGGTTAACAAGGCATGCTGGGAGCTATGTGTCATGGCTGACATGACAAGCTTGACCTTGGAGCAGGGCAGAACGCCTCCTTCTCCTCCCCCCCTTGTCATCCATCCCTCCTCCACCTCCCTCAACTCCTGCATCTTTCCCTTTCTCATTCCCTTGGCCGGGACAGCTGAGTTATAGGGTGTGTGGGTGTGTGTGTGTGTGTGTGTGTGTGTGTGTGTGTGTGTGTGTGTAAAAGATAAGACAACATACGCAGAGCAGAATTAGCCAAATCTACTCAGCAGTTTATTCGAGACACAGTTTCGTAACTGTAGAAAGTTCTTACAGTGACATCATTTCCTCTGTGCAAAGTAATCCATCAGCCATGTGCAGAATATCGGAGCGCGCTGCACCTCATGATTTACATCAGGTGTCACTGCAGGAGGTGGCGTGTCCTTTATGTAGTGAGGCGGACTGTGAGGTGTGGAGGTCAGGGTGGTGGGTGGGTGGGTGGGTGTGTAGCTCGCCTGACTCTAAAGATGGAAGCCTGACTTTGGTCCTGTCACAGACCTGCAGTTAATAATGTAACTGCGATCTTTCCCTCATCTTAAAGGAACACTTCACCCCCCAAATGCCCGTTTGTATATCAGTTACTGATTGTCTCTGTCAGAAGCATTCTCGCCTGCTGGAAATATTCAGTTTGACTCAGCTCATGTGACTGAAACTGAACTGAGAAACAGAGAGAGCTCAGTTGTATGCAGAAACATCAGTCCGTCTTTTCGTCCAATCACAGCGAAGCATCAGTTATGTTTTAATTAAGTTCAGTTAAGTTTTTATCACTTTAACGTTGGAGACGGATAATCAACCACCAGGCTGTGTATTGGCCTTCTGTCAGTGTGTGTGTGTGTGTGTGTGCGTGTGTGTGTGATATAAAGCCGTACAGAGTCATTACGTCGAGCTGTCGGCAGCGTGTGTGAGCAGGTTAATTGGAACATGATGCACAGTGTTAACCAGGATTAATCAATGTAATTACACACGGTGTAATGACAGTGTTTTCCTGCTGCACTCACTGCGTCCTCATCAACTCCTGTGTGTTGGGTATTTTTCCAACCCAAATGATGTTGTTTCTGAAATGTTTTTTTTTTCTTGCACAGGGAATGAGGCTGTGTGTGTGTGTGCATGTGTGTAATTCATTAATTAGGCTGTTTTCCCAGAGATTAGCCCGGCCTGGGCTCCGTTACCTTTAGTCGCTTCATTCATTAGCGCAGCATCATTCATTAACCCAGCAGCTAATGAAAAGCCACTCTTAATTGGCAATGGAGAGATAAAGGCTAAATGAAAACACTAAATATAGAGTGTGTGTGTGTGTGTGTGTGTGTGTGTGTGTGTGTGTGTGTGTGTGCGTGCATTAAATCTCTAGATAAGGAGGAGGCCCAATAAACCTTTATTAGCTACTTAACCAGGACAGTTAGCCTGATGATGAGGATCAACACAGAGCTTACTAACAACACACACACACACACACACACACACACACACACATACACATACGTGTACACAATGGTGGGTGGGAGGAGTCATTGAAATACTACATAGTGCGATAGTGCTGCTTGAAATGGACCGACCACACTGCACACACTTATGTTAGTCTGCTCGGTAACACTTTACTGGAAGGTATCTACATAAGGGTGACATGACACTGTCATAACTGTGACATGACACTGTCATGAACATTATGCACATGTAATAAACGTTATGACTGCTGTCATTAAGGCATTCAGTTTTTGTAATGACAAGTTGACATTGTTTGGGTTGTCTTGATTATGACAACTTGACATTAATCAAAGTGACATTACCAGAAGTTGTCTTTGTCATGATAAGTTGACATTAAATTTGTTTGGGATGTCCTTATAATGACAACTTGACATTAACCAGGATGACATTACCAGAAGATGTCTTTGTCATTACAACTTGACATTAACAAAATGCACCTCTTTTATGACACGTTTATGACAAGTTGACATAATAATTATTATAATTAGATGTCCAAAGTTACAGACAGATTCTAAAACTCGGTCAGATAGATGTCTGACAGGATACGACACAAACTGGCTGGTGCATTGTTTTGTTAATGTCAAGTCGCTGGTAATGTCATCCTGGTTAATGTCAAGTTGTCATAAGGACATCCCAAACAAATTTAATGTCAACTTGTCATGACAAAAACCGAATGACACTTAATGACAGCAGTCATAAACGTTTATGACATGCACATAATGTTTATGACAAGTTCATAACAGTGTCATGTCATAGTTATGACAGTAGCTATGTTTCCATCCAAAAGTGATTCGAATCATTGGGAAATGCACATTAAAAGAAATACGAATCCTGTGTGTTTCCATTAAATGTACGGACTTTGGTGAAAACTGCGAAATCGCGCAAGTTTTCTGCAGAACCGGAAACAAAAGAAATCTCGCTTTCTTCTTCTTCTACGTTTTCTGGCGGTTGGCAACCAGCTTGTAAATGCATTACCGCCTTCCCGACCCGGAGTGTGGATATCACCATGGAGAGAGGTGCGCTACGTCAGACTTAATTCGAACATAACTGTTTCCATCCCCTGTTTTGCGAATCAGCATTTTTTTCGAATCAACCAAAACCGGGCTAAAGCGAGCGTATTTTAGTTTGTGCGAATCAGGGGATTTTAATTCGAATTTTGGCGTTTCCATTATAATTTTCCGATGCGATACTTCTAGATGCGCATCTAAACGGGCTGATGGAAACATGGCTACTGTCATGTCACCCTTATGTAGATACCTTCAAGTAAAGTGTTAACGTCTGCTCTTTGTTTTTTTCCATGAACACATGTGACGGAGTATTTCAGATCAGGCTGGTGGTCTGTTTCCACTGTTTATTTATTAAGTTATTCAAAAAGCTGTTTGATTCCACATCACACCTCTGTCTCAGAGGTACACACATACATACACATGCCCACATTGCTCTGGTCTTCCCTCTGTCTCATGTGACAGTACAGGCTGATATTTAATATAAATTAAAATGTTCTAAAATGTCTCTCTTTCTCCTCAGCTGGATCGACCACTGAGCCCTCCCCTCCAGCTCCGCCTCCTCCCGAGGCTCAGCCAATAGAAGCAAAGGTTCCTGAGGAGGAAATGGACGTCACGGACGATGACATCACAGCAGGTAGGGACATGAAATGTGACGTATAAAAAAGGCTCATTTAAGTGCTGTATTTTGTGTTAAGATGTAGCAGGTGTGACATGTTACATGTTGAAGCGGCTGAATGGCAATATTTCGATATTCTCTACAAAATGGGCCACATGTTTAGTTACGAGTCAAAGCCATCTGGTCAGTTTATAAATGCTGCAGTGAGAATACAAACTAACTCTAGGCACTAATGCAACTTTGGAACAACATGAGTCCCTGATTCAGACCAAACCAAGACAACTTTAGGTCTGTAAGCGCCCTAAAAACAACTTACTGACAGACTCACTGTGAAGTGTTTGAGGGTGTTTGAGGTATAAAATGAAGGGTGTGTTTTCCCCAGTGACCTGTGGAGCCTCATCTGGTTTCATAGAGAAACATTAAAAGGTCATTTATCATTTATGTGCCTCTGAATTTAGGAGTTTTGCTCTGGTGACTCTGAGCGTAGGTTAATCATGGTGTCTATGTGAGTGTGTGTTTTAATCAGTGCCACACAGCCCATGTGTAATGCCAGTGTACTGTGACCTGCATGGTGTTAAAAGCAGTTTGGTGTTTAGTGTGCGCACATGCTTCCTCTCTCACACACTCACACACGATAAGGTGAGAAACATTTCTCCCCAGGAAACGACTCACACCTGCAGCACAGGTAGAAAACACACACACACACACACACACACACACACACACACACACACACACGCTTTTCCAGTCCATTTATCTTTTGACACATTTCCCTGAAAGTTTAACCGTGACAGACACAGACAGGTAGATCCTCTCCGGTGACTACACTCACACAAACGTTATTTAAGCAGCAATTTCTATATATCAGTGATCACAATATGATAGTGCCATCATTAATGTATAAAGATCTGTATGAAGAAGGCTTTTGTTTCCTTATCATGCCCGTAAACGTTGCCTCTCTACATCTTCCTGATCAACATCATCTCTTTTACTCTAATAGATTCAAAAACCACAGAAAAATAAATCAGAATTAACTCCTGTGTCCAAAGGGAAATTTATATTCTGGAACAAAACCCTGCAGAAAACGGCTCCAACACTGTCTCACCATCCCTTCACCCTCTCTCCTCCCTCCTCCCTCCATCCTTCTCTCAGACCAGTCAATATCGCAGATGTGTCTGACAATTTATCATTTCTCACAGCTCATTTTTCTCCTATTGACAGCAGTGTTTTTTCATTCAGTCTCTGCAGTATTAAATCTGTTAGCAGACGCCTCAAACAGAGAGCAGAGTCTGAGTCTTCTCTGCAGAGGAGGAAAAAACTCATCGAGTTTTAAAACTTTTCTGCTCTCGCTCTTTGTTTCGTTGTCTTTCTCCTCCATCCTTACTTCCTCTGCAAAGTCTGTGAAAATCAGGAATGAGGATGTACTGTTTTGGGAAATGTATTTGTGTTCTGGGTAACAGAAACAGCTGCACATGTGTAATTTGTAATATTATTAAAGGTCTACCCTTAAAGGTTATGCATCATTTCTGCAATAGCCTTTCAATGTAGAAACCAACAGGATGGCTGCGTGCATTGTGGCAGCAGGTCCAAGCTCTTCTTTTGTTATATTGCTACATGTGCCGTGTATTTGTAGGGATCTGCAATTTCACTGTCATCAAATAATGACAAATAAAGCTCTATCTACATTCAGTAATACCTCTATATATAGTAGTTTTATTGGTAGTGGTGGGGTCCGCCATTCGACGCTGGATTCAGATAGCCTGCCTAAGTCCTGTGAATGGGTGTTATAAGTGGTTATCAGCCTCATAGATAAGGGTTATCAAGGCAAGCTACAGCGTCTAGGTTCAGGACGCTGTTATTAGCCCATTAAATGACCACTGTCAGTTGTCATCAGGAGCAGTTTTGTTTCACTTCCGTTAAGTTTGGGCGCCAAAACTATGTGGTTAGGCTTAGAAAAAAGATCATGGTTGGGGTTAAAATAAGTATGTTTGTTTTGTAACATGACATATAATAATGTAAGGCAACATGACAGACTTCCGTCCGTCAGTTAAATTAAGTCAGTGCTGACTTTGGGTTTCACACGGGACACAAACAGAGATCTCCTGGGTGAAAGTCCTGTGTTTTTTACAAAGTTTCTTACTGTCAGAGATACTTTATAACAAAAGATAACACATTACAAGCTATGCCAATGGTATGAAATAGCATATACTACTGGTATCCATGGGTGTGGTCTTCTCTACAGCTTATCTCCCCACGTCGTGTTGATGGATGAAATCAGATTCAAAACAGTACAACACAATATACAGCACAAATTTAACGTTTGCTCCTTATATTAATGCTTGTTTTTATCTGCTAGCTTAACGTTTGATGTCAAACCAGTACAAGATCCTATGAGTTCTCTTCTCTCCCTCTAAAATCAGTTGAATAATAATTAATTAATTAATTAATAATTATTTTGACGTTTGATTCACTGTTTCATGATTGACAGTTCAGCACCAACGGAGAGAAGAGATTCTATGATGCTAGATCTTGCGAGGGTGATGCTGAGACGGAAAGTGTTTATTTTCTCTTGATTAGTCTCTGAAAAAAGCCATTTCAGTGTAAAAACATTCAGAAGATATGTGTCTTGTGAAAACTGTATCTGGTATTTACTCTGGTGACTATCACTAAAGAATTGGTTTTGGTCTGTACCAATGTTCACGCTTACCTTTTTTGGAATGAAAAGACCGCAGCTAATAGTGCCAATGGCGAAACCCAAGTGACACAGATACATAAAATGACTCTTACATGGGCCGTCTTGGTTTATCAGTGGTCTCTGTTACTGTACTACGCCCCATGACTTCCTCCTTTGCTTTCTTTATAATAACTACGACCACTAGAGGTCGCTGTCTATCACAGCCTTTTAATGGGCTGGTAACGGCCTTCTGAACTTACTAGCAGGTGTTTCAGGCTCCTTCTAACCCACATTTCTGAGGCTAATAATTAAGGGATAATGCCCTTCGAGGTGTCCATCATCAGTTTTTAATGGCTGACATGGAGGTGTGCAAGGAGGATGTTTACCTTCACAAAGGTCATCAAAAAGTGATAATGGACACCTTGAAGGGCATTATCGCACTTATACCATGGTCACTTACCAAAAAAATAAACTGTAGTAATATTCTTTCATATTTTAATGCTCTTTGCAATCAAAATCTAATTTTTCTCAAACCATAACTCTGTTTCCTTGGTAACACCTGAGGGTTTACCTGATACCTGGAACAATCATTACCGCCCAGTAAAGGCCCATTTATGCTCCCTTTACGTACGAAAATGTATATGTCCATTTCAAATGATGTTACCGTCACTGCCCACATTCTTCCATGCGTCCTTTACGTTGGCATGGATGTTAACCAATATATCCACCAGAAGGCAGCCCAGAGTCAAAAGTTTATGACAAAAACAAAGTCAAAAACAAACATGGCGACTGTGGAGCAGATATTGATAATGTACCTCTTGCATAAAAGACAAAAACAGAGGCAGCGTTGTAGGAGGCGGTGGTCGGTGAGGCCATTAAATACATCGTGACTGGAGGACGGAGAATTATTTTCTCTAGTACTGCCGATGAAAGAAATTGAATTGTTATTTCTTCTTCGTGTCTCAGTAGAGCTACGTATCGGGTAGTGACAGCAACACTGCCCCCACGGTTCCCGGTGGTACTGCTCCGTTTGGCCCGTATTCGTAAGCTTTATGGAAACGTGCAGAAATACGGACGAAATGAACGTGGAGCACGGACAGAAGGCTCCGTTGAGCAAAAATAGGCCTTAAGGCTTTTATGCAATGGAAACATTATTCACTATTCCAGTAAATAGGACGAACCTTAGAACCAACTGCTTTAGTCTGCTTGAAATCACTTAAAACTGAATATCAAGTCATTTGAAGACTTCATTTTGGGCTCCGGGGACTTGTTATGGACTATCTTCAATGTTTTCATACAGTATAGATATTTGAAATAATGATAGTCAACTAAAATAACAGACCTTTTTGAGACAGAAGGAGGAGCTCAGTCACAGGATGGTTTCAGATTATTTTCAAATCCATCATGATGCAACACTCATACACCATTCAGTGTGTGTGCTGAGGAGGCAGAGAGGACAAGAGATACGTGGAAAATATAGGAGAAAATGCACAAGAAGGATAACATAGGGAAGGAGAGGAGAAGAGGAAATGGGGAGAGGAGAGGAAACGAAAAAGGAGGAGATGAAGAGGAGAGAAAGGAAAAAAAGACAGAGATGTCGACAGCCACAGAATCACTTGGCTGCAGGCTGTTACCACGGCGATAGACTCATCACCTCAGTCTACTGTCTCCCCTGTCTCACACACACACACACACACACACACACACACACACACACACACGCACAATTTAGGATGTGCAAGTGACAACAGTTGTTGCTTGGTGCCACAGCTGCAAAAGATCCCAGACCAGAGCTGACACACACACACACACACACACACACACACACACAAGCAAACCTAAACCTGTGTGTGTGTGTGTGTGTGTGTGTGTGTGTGTGTGTGTGTGTTGTAATTATGTCCCTAGCAGTGTCAGGGGATGTCATTAGGATCCACAGCACCCTCCTCCTTACCCCCCTCCATCCCTCTCACTTTCTCTCACACACCATACACACACACACACACACACACACACTTCAATTTAGTTCATTAAATCTCTGTCGGCATTTGGCAAAACATTTTGCCAACACATCTAATAAAGCAGAGTCAGTAAAGCACACAGTGATTACATGAATACACTGATGATGCTCGGAGTGTTTCACAGTGACACTCAGACAGTTCTGTGTGTTATAGTTGATTCATGATGAGTACGAGTGTAACAGCAGAATAATTCCAGGGTTTAGTGTATTTTCTGTAAGAGAAAATTAACAGAAAAATATTTTTGTCATTTAAAGACAAATAAACATTACTGGGTGCATCAATTAATTCTAAATTATTCCCAAGTTTCACACAGTAAAGTAGCTCTC